GAGATGCCTATTAAACTTAGAGGTGTGTGTCCTTAGTAAATCCAGATTAGAACTGGTCTGATAAATGCTGAGCTGGGTGTGTGTGAACATGGGTTGATTAACATTTGGAGCACAGATTCCCCATCATGCAGTGTTCCCCTGCTTCTCTGGTCCCAGAATTCACTGCAGTTTCTGCTTCTGGCTTTCTGTTCTCCATCTCTCATGTAAATGAATGGTCATTTGGTTCCGTCTTGGATGTAAATGAGACCTAGGGCAGTTGGTTCACTCTTGTCACCGTTATCTTGAGGGTCTTAGGTGCGTCTCTCACTGCATCTTAATCAGTTTCGTTTAGGTAGAGGAGGGGAGGGAGGGGGGGGTGAGTCCTTTGTGAGTCAGACAGACTGCATCCTGTGCCAGGGTTGCCCAAGAACACAGAGCTGAGACGTAACAATACTTCAGTTCAAAATATATTGAACTGGTGGTTGGATGCATTTGGTAAAATGCCTTTCTTACAACGTATTTAGCTATATGAGTAGACATGTGCCCCTATATTTGTGGGCATTGCAACATTTAATTGGTTAGAAGGATTGCTGTGGAGTCATGTAAACTAAAGCATTTCCGTTTTTCAGGAGTGATCTTGGGTTTTTTGCACCTCTCCCAGTGTTTTGCTTGTGAGGAGGAGTTGAATTTGGGTTTTCTACAATTAGGTATCAAGTGTTGGTCTAGGTTTCACTTTGGACCAGACTTTCAGAAAAAACTTTTAATGATAAATTATGAAAATTATAGCAGTCTGTGATCCATCTTCTTTATATGGCAGAAGGTTAAAATAACTTCTTGCTGAAAGGCAGAAATGCAGGGGAGAGAAGAAGGACATATTTTATAATGGCTCCTAACCAGGTACCAGTTTGTTGAATGTGATCAATTCAAACATTTTTGAAGTAATGAAGATAAGAATTGGAAAGAAAAACTACTACAGATTTCAGGAAATTAAAAAGATTTTGTGTCAAATAATCCTTAGGTCCCATAAAAGAATAAGGGCGAAATGTTTGGGCTGGTATGCAAGAGGCCAAAAAAAGGGCAAATAAATTGCTGTTTTCCAGTCTCTCAGCATGCTAGTGCAGGTTATAAAAACTTCAGTAACACTTTTTTTCAGGTAATAGAAACCAAGGGAGGAAAGTGCATATGTGTAATTGACAGTCTGCATGCAGCAGCAATATGTCAAAGGTAACACCCAGAGGCTGCCATATTAAATTAGAAACATCAGTATTAGCAAGAAAGGAATTAACTGTCAGTGTCAGCTAAGTAAAAACAAGCTAATCTGGTTTTCTACCACAACCCCCCCCAAAAAAAACAAAACAAAACCCCAAAACAAAACAAAACAAAAAACAGTAGTGGTTGATTTAGAGGTTTTTGTGTCCTGGCAATGTGAAAAGCCATTTGGTGAATTGATTAGTTTTTTTATTATGAGATTTTATTCAAAAGATAAGTATTCTATACAGTATTGTGAGGATATACACTTACTTAAAATGACACTTTTTAATTATTCAGAAGGACACAACTAAAGAGAGAATTCTGAAGAAGATATCTATGAGAAGGAAAAGTGCTATGAAAAAGGTGCTTTATTAATTCTATTTTTAAAATATTCTGTACCATACTAATACTTTATTAGGACAGAAGTTTGAAAATACTTTATGTTCTAAACTTCAAGTATTTTGATGCATTAATTCTAATATATAATGTTAGGAAGTCTTTTAGATTTGTACTACGGTTGTGCCAACCATCTATTGCATAGTGTTATAACTATCTTTCAGTAATACTTTTATCTAATAAGAACAGCATATCTTATTCTGGCAGTATTATCTTGCTTTACTTTCCCAGATCACCTCCTTACCAGAAATGTAACTAAGCTTAAATTGACTGAAAACATCATTTTCAAGCAGTTAATTTACCTATATGGTAATATTTACTACTTTCTAACAAAGCTATGTGCCCAAGTATTCCAAAGCACTCTGTTATAAATGTTTTCTCTTTAGAGTTTGCTTAAGCTATTCTCAAAGAGAATTTTTGGTTATCTTAATTATATTATGTGATATTAAAAATGAAAGTACGGATTTCCCTCGCTTTATGCAGGTTCTATATGTGCAAATTCACTCTTATGAAATTACCCTTTTTATACCAAAAATTCGTCATATGTGAGGTAAATTCATTCTTATGTGATCGGTGTGGTGGAAGCCCGCAGTCAGCTGCTTTGTGTGGTGCACTGTGGGAGTGATGCGCGCCAAAATATAGTCTCCTGTGTGGATCTGTGCTCCTTGCTTGTTGTCTGTGACACGTGTTTCTGTAGTTGCCATCCCCATTATGGTAACATTCACCACTACCCTGTGCTTGTGTGTACTGTCTGCTGTTGGTGAGCACCAAAATTGTCTTGTAAAAGTGGTAGAAATGGGTCTGGGGGTCAGTACAGTCAAGGTCTTGAAACATATCTATATTTGTTACATTGTAAAGTGGGTTCCCTTTATGCAAATTTGAGTTATGCGCTGTGTGCTCCTCTGGTCTTGAGAAGGCACTTCCTAGCCACCTTGGAGCGTGTGCCTGGGATTGCACATGATGTTTGGTCCTGCGATCTCAGCGGGGAATTGCATTCTCCCCGAGGGAAACCCCAAAACTCTCCTGCCACAACTTTGATCTTTCTTTCAGTGGCAGGGCTTCCTCCTGTTGTTCCCTGTGGGGCAGTCACACTCCCTAGTGGGTGTTTTTGGGGCTCCCCCTCCCCTACCCCCCAGCCATGTGCCAGCCTACAGGACAATTGCTTGATGACCTGCTGGTGCACCCTCTGGTATTGATTCTCATACTTTTCCTTGCCTGCAGGGCCTTTGGTGTCCTTACCCAGCTATGGGCCTCTTCGGGGTGCTAGGCTGTCCCTAATATTCTTTAGTGCCTTTCTTAATGGCGCTGCAGCTTGCAGCACATGCCTTGATCGTTCTTAATCTGTGAGCGCTGCCCAGGGCCCTGACCTTTGTTGGGGTTCCTTGGGGCTACCAACAAAGAAAAAAGGATTAATAACAAAAAAAAAAAAGGGGCACAGGGCCTTGGCCCATCCCCAGTCATGAGCCCAGTATCTGTGGCTCTGGAAGTCCCTCGATGCCGTCTTTGTCTTTTCAATGAGTTGCAAACCCCTCAAAAGGGGCCTGTCCTCGTGTACCTGGGTGCTAGCTGGTGCAGTCTGCACCTGGCTTGGGGGGCACCTTTGCTGCTTGCCTCTGGCTGTGCTTCCTCCATTTCTCCTTTGCTGTCAGCTTTTATTTTGGCCGGGCGGCATTCGGCGATGACATCATCCACCAGCGCTGCTTTCATCCAGAAATAAAGTTGGCTAGTGAACTGTGCAGGCATTCCGTTCTGTCCTAGCATGGCTCATCTGTTCCTTGTGCCTCTGTAGTGGGCAAGTTTGCTTGGTCTTCAGGGCTTGCATTGTGGGGTCAGGTTGTCCCTGTTGCGAGTTCCGCCACGGAGAGGGTCCCTCATGTCCCCGTCTTCATTCCCACAGGACACACCGTTTTCTAGGAATACACGTATAGCATAAAGCGAGGGAACCTGTACTAAAAATCTAAACTTGTTACCAGTAACGTACAGTTTTAGACTCATCATCTTCTTGGTACCACTAGACTTGAATTACAAAACTTTCTTTCAAAAAACCTGTACATTTCATTGGAATTACTTAAAATGTATAATCTTAAAAACAATTTTAGCCTACATTTTTGGACAGCATCCCTTTGATTTTAATATCTATTTGGCTGGAAGGGTGAGTTATTAATTTAGTTATATTAAATTGACTGCTGCTCTGCTTCATAGACTCTTAGGGGACATCCAGACGAGTGCGCACGAGCCTCTTGCAGCATCTCAAAGCCCTTTGAGACACTTGAAGAGGCACACGAGGGAACAGAAAAATGTTCCTCATGCTGCAGATTTGCTGTGTGGGGGCAAAATTAGACCCCGGTCAAAAAATACCTTGAGGAGAAAAAAAAACACCCGGCCCAATCCCCTGCCTACCCCCTGAGTCTCCCCTGATCTCTGCCTGCCCAGCCCCAGCATCCCTGAGGCAACCGGAGGCTTGAGTCCTCCACAGCGATGCTCTGATGGCCATCCAGAGTGTCTCTGTGGCTGGCCCTCACCCTGGTGCTGAAGCCCACTGCCTGCCCTTGCCGGGTTGGCAGCTTGCCAGCCGCACGGAGCTGGAGCCAGGCTCCTGCACTGCCACTGCCCCATCTCATGGGTGTGGCCAAGGTCAGCAGGACATCACGCAGCTCTGTGTACTGTCAGGCAGCTGGGGCCACTCAGGCTGAGCAGTGCCAGGCCCTGGGTGATAGCTGCAGTGGCCCCAGCTGCCTCACAGCGTGCAGAGCCATGCAGTGCCCTGCCAACTCCAACCGCACACAATGGGGCAGTGGCGGTGTGGGTGCCAGGTGGCCGGGGCTGGTCCCCGCTGCCCCGTGCTGGGCAGGGGGGCTCTGCCAGGAGGCCCCAGTGACTCTGACAGCCACTGCTACTTCTGGAGAGTGCAGGGCTTTTTTGTTTTAGAGTGCTGGGAGGCTGGGGCAGCCATCGGGGGTTTGGGGGTGTAAGTGGGGGCTGGGCAGCC